TAACACTAACCCTAATCCTATTTATGGGTAGATAAATTAGATATAGAATATAAAAATATTTTTTAAGACTGCCTTATGAACTTGTATTTCATCAAAACAGAAGTGAGCCTATATTCTTTATTCAAAAATGTTTAGATAGGTCCCATTATTTGAAAGGGAGAGTACATCCTGATGAGAACTCAATCCATTGCGATAAAAAATGTGGTATGGTGTTTCAATGCTATGGTTCATTTGTTGCCATGAACAGGGGAGAGAAAAACTATAAACTTTAGAGAAAGTCCTCAGCACATGCAATGTATACAGGTTTTTTAATACATGCATTCTGTAATCCGGAAGTCCATTCAACAATTTAGTGCTAGAATTGGTGTATGCTCTCAAGTCTAAGGTGGCACTCTAACAATGATGAGGAAGGAATTACAATTCTTACTTGTCATGCGTGTCATACATTTTTGATTTGAGCAAAATCTTTACCCCAGTGTTCTTGACTACAGTGAAGTTCTAAGTCAGTTTAATATGAATGTAGCTGTGTAGATGATGCAACCAGTTTTCAGTACCAAAGAGCTGGTGGGAATCACTATATAGAGATCCATGATATCGAACTTACCATCTTGATAGACTGCAGGAGCTGATACTAATTAGTGGCAAGATTTGTAGTTTTTAGTAGTGGCCCTTTAACACGTGTCCTAGACATTGTTTCTTGACCAAGCCAAAAGAAAAGCCAATGTGACTTGCGTGTAGTGTCACCAACGAAAGTGACGAGAAATCTTTCTGGTGAGAATATTCTTGTAATCTGTGTCCTCAGCAAACTGTTCTATACATGAACAAAAACAATGTTTTGGAATGCCTATGCAAATTGAAATCATTTTCCAAAGATGTTTCTGATGAGACACTAACATACTGGTGGAGCCTTAAAGCGTGGATCTGAATATGTTTAATCAGGAAATTAGATCACTCTGATGAAAAATGATTGCAGCAGTGCCTTTAAATTCGGTCACTTCCATGCTGCAAACTTCTTTTTCTTTGTGGTGCTCTAAATGCATCCTATATACCAAGCAATAAATATATAATCTGAATTGCCTGCATTATTGTTCTAAGAGGAGACTTGACATCTGCAGTGTGTGAAGCAAACATGGAAGCATCCAACATTTAAAAAGTGACAAAGCAATTATGGAAAATAGGCAGATTTCAAGGTGGAAATTCGTACGAAGAGGGTTAAATTTGCCATGGTTTGAAAGGGAGCATATATCCTGAAGAGAACTTAAACCATTGCGATAAACAATTTGGCATGCTGTTTCAATACTGTGGATCATTGTTGCCATGAAGAGGACAGAGAAAATCTATAATCTTTAGAGAAAGTCCGTAGCACATACAAAGGAAACATTTTCTAAATACTTGCATTCTGTAAGACAGAAATCCATTCAACAATTCAGTGCTAAAATTGGTGTATGCTGTGAAGTGTAAGGCAGCACTCTTAACAATGAAGAGGAAAGGATTACAGTTCTTACCTGTAATGCGTATAATACATTTTTGATTTGAGCAAGATCTTTACCCCAGAGTACTTGACCGAAGTGAAGTTCTAAGTCAATCTGAAGCAAATGTAGCCTTGTTTATGATGCAACCAGTTTTCAGTACCGAAGAGCTGGTGGGAATCACTCTATAGAGATCCATAATATCGAACTTACCATCTTCATAGACTGCATGAGCTGATACTAATACATTGGCAGATTTTGTAGTTTTTACTAGGAGCCCTTTAACAGATGTCCTATACATAGTTTCTTGGCCAAGCGGAACGGAGGGCCAATGTGTCTTGCGTGTCGTGTCCCAGGAGAAAGTGATGAGAAATCTTTCTGGTGAGAATGTTCTTGTAATCTGTGTCCTCAGCGGCTTGTTCTATAAATGAAAAATAATATTTTGCAATACCTATGGAAATTGAAACCGTTTCTAAATGACACTTCTGATGAGACACTGACACACTGGTGGAGCCTTAAAGCATGGATCCAAAAATGCTTAACCGGGAAGTTATATCACTCTAAAAAAAAAAAATGCTTGCAGCACACCTGTTGCTGTGTTTGTCTGTGTCTAAATGTGTGTGAAGTAGAAATGTGGTTGTGTGATATCCAAGCAGATGGAAATATGTGAGTGCCCTCCTGTATGTGACTATTTGAATGTTTCTATGAGAGTTCTATGAAATTCACATTTCTTTAATAATGTGAGAGCATTGTTCATCCACTTTGTGGGAGTAAGGAAAAGAAATGAACCCATAAGATCTCAACCATCTCACACCCGAGCCCAGATTCATTAGATGGAGCTTCATGTGCTGTCTCCCCACAATCATCAGGTTACTCACAGCCTGCTCAGGCCAGTATACAGGTCAGGACCAGAATCTCCTGTCCTCAGGAGGTGGCTGACACACTTGCAATCGATGACCAAAAAAGGCTCTGTCCTCCTGTGGCCACAGCTCAGTCCAGGGCCCAGGCTAAGAAGGAGACTGGCTGTGGTGTCTCTCAGATATTTTCTTCTGTATTGACAGAGGAAAGTTTCATTAGCTCCAAGTTTACCTAGGCCTTCACCCTTCCAATTTTACTTCACTTATTAAATTTCTTGTAATATTGTAAAAGACTATACAAGGTGACCCGCCTTTCCAGTGGCCAGCCATATCATGTGTGAATTTCAGACATCTCAGCAGTGGGCCTAGACACCTTGCCACACACAGCAGCCACCAATTGATTCTCTGGCACCTTTCTCCATCCCCCACATCTATTTTCATTTGATGTCTGAAAGAATTGACCCAATGATCCATTGAGCAGGATTTGCCTCGGGGAAGGCCTCACATCTTGTACTGTCCCTTAATGAATACGGATTGTTTCTGGGGAGCAATCACAATAGAGTTTCAGACAGAGAGAATCACCTCGACAGAGCAAGATTATGAGAAAGCTGGCATCCTCCCAGGTCAACGAGATACCTTATTTAGCTTGAGGCCAACAGAACAAATCGCTCTCAAGTATCCTTTATTCTCTACAAAGTTGTTCATTGTTCTCCAAGGCTGAACTATTCTAAACATATTGAGAAAGGGTCCTGAGTGTCCCTCTGTCAGTAGCATACTAGCCTCTTTCCTCTTCTGTGTTTCTCGCTCCCTTATTCCAGAATGGATTACCCTGTCCCTCTTTTGGCTCTGGAGGAGCCGACATCTCAGGAAGAGTCGAACACACCCTTTTGGAGTCCTTCTCATTTTTAAAACCCAAAAGTAACGTGATGGACATGGTCTCAGACAACACCCAGGCATCTGGATTGCCACTCTGTTTCAAACACTCAGGTGACTCCAATTTTGTCCTCTATGTGGCTCTGTGACAGGATGGAAAACGATCCCAACTCATGTAAAAAAGTCTCAGTGTGTCTAGAAATCTCATCAGGAGAATGCCAGACTGGGGTTTGGAGCCTCCAAACCTGCCTCAGTCTCTCCATTAAACTCAATGAAACCTAGCAGGACTATGTAGCTTGACACCTTTACCAACATGTCAGGGGAGCTGCCTTCTATTCCAACATCTGTCTACTGTGTCGGCTGCTCAGCACATGCTGCCTGCTGTGTCACTTTCTCCCCAATGCTGAGCCCCTTTACACACATGTTGTTCTCCTTCTTCTGCACTTAGTCACTGATCCACACCGGTCTCATGTCTAAAACTCTGAATTGGTGTTGTGTGTTTATTTGTCAGTGTCTTGCTTTCCTTTTTAATTCCACATGGTAGCGAAAGTGGAATTGCTTAAAATTGCCAGTCTCAAAATGAATGGGGGAGTTTAGCAGCTCCTCAGTGGCCAAGGCCTAAATTCCAGGTGGAACGCAGCTCTGAAATTCCCAGAACTGAAAGGCAACCACTCGTCTCCGGACCAAACAAGTAGTGGCTCGACTGACCATTGGGCTAAGAAGAACAGCTTATGGCATCTTGGAGAATAAAATGCAGAAGCGACCATGATTTGGAAGGCCAAAGAGGTCAATGTGTGGCAGTGAAGTGGGCTTCCCAGCAGGCCAGCAGCTAATGACTGAACCATGGCATAGGGCAGTGCCAGCTTCCTGAGCCTTGGTTCTCCTGGTACTCCAGGAGCACTGAGGCTTGGAAAGATTGGGCAGCCACTGCTTCTAGTCTGCCCTTTGCTGAGGCTGAGAAGGTGGTGGTGCGATACACTAGTGGTGGCTCCTGTAGGGTTCTGCTCTTGATAAAGGCCCTGCTGTATGCAGCAGTCCTGACCTGCCATTTTCTGTTCAGGACACACAAATGCCACACTGGCAATGAAATGAGGCCACTAACCCATGGCACGGTCAAGGCTGTTATCACCAGCAACCTTCCAGTAGGGCGGTAGGCATGAAGTAACCAAGTGTCATAGAAGACCCAGGACAAGAATTGGCCTTGTTATTTCAAATGCCCTAGGAGACTGGCCTGGAAAGGGCCTGGAATTGGGAAGTCTGTGAGTCACCGCCTTGCCCCCACCCTGGGAAATGGCCCCCGTGTAAACCATTAAATGTCTGAGGGGCAGAGCATAGATGTACTTCCAGTCTCACAGCTACCCTGAACTGACTGGTCACCAATATTCATGCTCTTGCCCCACGCCCCTTGACCGATTCTGAAGTGAACACAAGCTACTTTTTCCTCCCTCCTACTCCCCACTGGTGTGTTTCTTCTCTGAGTCTGGCTCTGTCCTCCCTAGATTCTTCTGTAAACTATTCACCACCAGGCCTAGGGCACTTGGAAACCCCATGGGGAGCTCTGGGCAGGAAGCGGCCACTGGATAGGAGTTCATATTCTCTGGTCTATTTATTGGCAGAGGTGAGTTGCCCAATCAGCACTCCTTGGAGGCAAGACTATCTGTCAATTAATCACAGCTTTTGTCCATTGAATTGATTAGGGTCAGTCCTGGGGCACTCTCCTCCTTCTTTCCTCCATTGTCTCTTCCTCTGACACAGCAGCCTCAGTCTTTTTCCAGACTTCTCATTCCATTTTCCTTCTCACCTCATCTTCCAAGTCCACTCTCAGGGTCCTTCCACCTTCTTCGGCTTCTAGGCAGCCCATTCTCTTCCTACTCCACGTTTCCGTACTCCATTGCTGCCAGTTCTACCACCCTCCCTCCTCTCATTTGACTATCTTCCTTACCTCCTCTAAACACCTGTGATCCTCAGCTACCTATTCCAACACAGGTGGCCCATTCTCCCTTCCCTCACCCTCACAGTCTGTTTGCCCACAGCAGGGCTTTAGACCTCCAAAAAGCACCCTGCTCCTGGGACCTTGGCTGCTCTCAAGCCCACTACCCAGCTAGGCTGGGGCAGCCAGGGACTGGGTCCTGGGGATAGAGGGTAGGGTAAAATTTTTTAGGCCTGGTCAGTGCTTCAGAAGGTGAGACCCCACATACTCTCTGCCAGCCATAGTGCCATGCACAGTCCCTTTCCTCCTGAGGCCAGGAAGTCAGAGGGCTGAGTAGACCCATCTAGGCCCATGCATGCATGTCACAGAAGATAAAGGCCTCTGGATGCCTTGAGAGCCTGGCTGGGAAGCCTCCTTAACATCGGGGATCTTCATGTGTTCATGTGTCTGTATCAAACAGGCAGAGCCACAGCTTTCCTCATTTTCCCAGGCGGTTGTGGGTGTGTTGGACATGTTCCATGTCCCTCACTCCCTAAAGAATTGAGTTCAAATAGTTTTCTGGCTGGGAGTTTACAGTGCCCGTGTGTGTGTGTGTGTGTGTGTGTGTGTGTGTGTGTGTGTGTGTGTGTGTGTGTGTGTCAGAATTCTCAGAGGAAACTTTGAGATCTAGGGCCAGGTGAAAACATTTTAAGACTTGGCCTCAAAAGCATGATCCAAAAGAAGAAACGGAGACATCGGGAGTTGTGAAAATTAGAAAGCAAAGCTCTGCGAAACACCCTCTGAAGAGAAGCGATCAAAGAAAGGGCACCCTCAAATCACAGCAGCGGTATTGTTTTAATGAAAAAAAAAATGGCTAAAAGAATAAAGAAACAAAGGAAGGAAGGAAGGAAGGAAGAAAAATAAAGGAAGGGGAGGAAGGGAGGGAAGAAAGGAATGAAGGAAGGAAAGAAAGAGAAAAGAAAGAGAGAGAAGGAAGGAGAAGGAAGGAAGGAAGAAAGGAAGAAAGGAAGGAAGGAAGGAAGGAAGAAAGGAAGAAAGGAAGAAAGGAAGAAAGGAAGAAAGGAAGAAAGGAAGAAAGGAAGAAAGGAAGAAAGGAAGAAAGGAAGAAAGGAAGAAAGGAAGAAAGGAAGAAAGACCAAAGACACACAACAGGCATTTCACTGAAGGGGGAGGCAGGGGAGGTCATCATGATGGATGGTAAAAAAAGAAAAGAAAGAAATATCTCTCGAAAAGACTCAAACCGGAGGTTTTCCAAACATGCAAAGGAACATCACGGCAAGTCAGGGTGATCTCAGGACACAGCCACCAGGATACCTTCCAAGGAATAGAGAAAGGGAACAGTAACAAATTGCTGGTGAGATCAGGCCATGGAGAAACCAAGTCGCTCTCACATGACAGCCATATTGACGTCAAACAGCACAGCCACTCTGGAAGACAGCATGGTGTTTTCCAAATGTACAAACTGAGGAGAAAGACCACCACTTGCAAGGACTGCAGGACCCAGAAAACTCAGCCCCAGGATCATGCCTCAGGTTGACCCCCAGGCAGGTCTGGTGTTGCAGAAAAGTTGCAAAAATTCAGACCAGTGAGAAATCAAGCAGCACCTGGAGGTTTGGAGTAACTCAATTTTATTACGCCAGCAGTCCCAGAAGAGCTAGTGCTCTGAAAATCTGGGCACAGAACTTACTTAGGGGTTATTTCATTTTTATACCTGCATTGCTACAGTCTGCATGGATTGATTTACAGACCTCTGAAATTACCATGGGCTACAGGCAGTTACAGATCATAGGATTTTCTATCTAACAAGCACTAAAGTAATACGTCTTTAGGGGAGGATGAGTTCTCAGTTGACCCTGAGATCTCTGGCCTTGCAATAAGCATGTTTACAGAAGCAGAAAAAGAACTGATTAGAAATGCTGGCCAATTAAGTGGGAAATTCCTCTTCATTCCCCCTTTTGATGCCCTTTAAATTTTTATAAGCCATCAATTTCTTGATTTCCCTGGCCGTTGTCATCTATTTGGAGGCAACAATCGAATCAGTTAAACTTTCCGCATACTCCTAGCTGAGAAGATAGCCCATGAACTTGGTGTTGCTGAATGCTGGGTGTGCGGAGGAGCATTAATGAGCAAAGACTGGCCTTGGAAGGGAACTAGCCTAGATGCCTTTTACCTCCTCCAGTGGAACCACACGGTAGTTCGACATGAAGAGGATCAACCCAAGTTGGGTCCTCTCCTCCAAAGTAGTAGAAGAATGTCTTGGCCAGATAGGCCCTAGATACACTCAGTGAGTTGGGGAAACTCTATATAAAAGAATGCTATTTTTAAATCACACAGATTTAAACTGGTGGCCCAAAGCTCCTTCCTGGTATTGGGCCACTAACAGGACTATAACTGACTCCTCATCATGCCATTCTTTGGACCAAAGCTCTATTGTCACAAACTGTACTATTAGGGCATGGTCCCTAACCCCTTCCATGCCATCTCAGCTATTGGCACATTCTGGGAAACCCTCTACTCCATTGGCACCAGGAGTTGGAAAGCGCCAGATGGTCTCTTCTGGCTCTGTGGGAAAAAGGCTTACACCCAAGTCCCAAAAAACTGGAAAAGAAGTTGCACCATCGGGATCATCCAATTTGGCTTCTTCCTCCTACCAGACTAAGGAGGAAATGAGCTAGGAGTTCCCTTATATCAAGACTTAAAAGTCAGAACTAAGAAGTCACTTGGAATTGATGTAGGGAGATAACAAAAGTGGGGAGAGGATAAATGGCCATCCCACCACATTATCCAATACTATGGCCCCGCAACTTGGGCACAAGATGGAAACTGGGGTTACTGAACTCCCATGACACCTTGTATCCCATGGAAGAGAGCAGGGCCAGCAAGGCTCTAGTACCTTTCCAGCAGTCTCCTTGGGTGGGGCTAGCCAGCAACAGGTCATCTACGTACTGGAGCAGGGTGCAGTTTATAGTCTGTTCGGGGAAGGCAGCAAGATCTGCAGCCAGTGCTTTGCCAAACAGGGTGGTTGAATTTTTAAAGCCCTGTGACAATCTAGTCCAGGTCAGTTGCGTCTTTCTCCCGGTGTGTGGGTCTTCCCACTCAAAGACAAACAAAGGCTGGCTGGCCGGTGATAACCGGAGGCAGAAGAAGGAAGGCATCCTTGAGATCTAGGCAAGCGAATTAGCTTGTGTGGGCAGGTAAGAGACTCAAGAGGGTGTACGGATTCGGGACCACTGGATGGATGGTGACCACTGCGTTGTTGATCATGTGGAAGTCCTAGGCAAGGCAGTAGTCATTCCCTCCCGGCTTCTTAACCCATAAGAGTGGAGTGTTCCAAGGTGACTGACACTCAACTAGAATGTCGGTATTGGGCAAATGCTGGATATGGCCCTGAATTCCCAAGCGTGCTTCCCGTGGCACTGGATATTGCCTTTGGGTAACAGGAGTGGCTCATGGTCTCAGGTCTACCATGATGGGCACATGATTTTTGGCTAGAGCTGGGGGCCCTTTCTCTGCCTAGACAGTAGGAAACTCCAACAGACTGGTTAGATTTGTTTGTTCTTTCTCTGGAGAATCGAGGCACCATTCATCCTCCCTGGGCATAGTCACAGCCATCATTAGAGCAGGCTGGCTCTTCAGGGTGAGACTGGTGGACTCCCCAGGGGCAAAGGTGATTTGCGCTCCTAGCTTTGTTAGTAAGTCTACCCAGAAGAGGAATAGGGCACTCTGGTAAGTACAGGAACTCATGAGTTACTAGGTAGCCCCCTAGCAGACATGAGCAGGCTTTACAGAATGAGCAGGCTACTCAATCCCCTGTGGCCCCAACAATAGTTGTTCTTCGGTCTGTGAGGGGAGCCACAGGCACGGTTACTATGGAGTATTCAGCCCTAGTGTCCACTCTAAAAGTCATTGATTGGCCCCCTACTTCTATTGTGACTGAGGGCTCTTGGGAGCCTAGGATCAGGGAGCCCAGCCACCTTTATTCTGACTGTCCTTCGGCCAGGCCAATAAGCTCTTAGATGGGTGGCTCAGGCTTGTACTTTCCTTTACAAGGTTGGTTGAACTTCTTTGGTCCTTCGGGCATCCTCCCACAGTGGGGGCATTCATTTTTCCAATGGCAAGCCTCTTTGCAGTAGGTGCACTGGTTGCAGCATAGTGGAGGTCTCCTTTTGGTTTCTCCTTTCCGTGAGGGAGCAGCAGCCTGCTGCACCGGGCCTGGGTTCCCTAATGCTGCTACCAGCAGAGACACCTTTTGTTTCGTCTGCTTATCAGCTATCTTTTGGGCCTCCCAGTCACGGTTCTCAAACACCTTGTGCGAGACCTCCAGTAGCTAGCTGTTGTTCATCCCAGCAAAGTCCTCTAATTTCTGAAGTTTGAGGTAGATGTCAGTGCAAGATTGAGCCACAAATGCCATACTGACCATACGTTAGTTTTCTTTCACTTCAGGATCAAAAGGGTTATACACCCAGAACGCCTCACGCAGTCTCTCATAGAACTCTGTGAGTGACTCCTCTGGCTTCTGGAGTACTTCTGCCATTTTTGACATGTTTGTTGGCTTTTTAGCTCCAGCTTTTATCCGCTTCAGTATGGTCTGCTGGTACCTGTTGAGAGACTCTCTTCCGTCTAGAACATTGAAGTCTCAATTGGACCTGACGTCAGGTGCAGTCTCTGAGGCCCATACTGCAGGGTCTAGTACACCATTTGGTGGTTGTCCTTGGATCCATCCCCGTGCTTCTGACAGAATCCGGCATTTTTCTTCAGTGTTAAAGAGAGTTAAGAGGAATTGGCGGCAGTCATCCCAAGTAGGCTGATGAGTTTGGAATACGGACTTGAGCAGGTCAATCATCACCTGGAGTTTCTCCAAATAGGACAGGGTGTGCTGCTTCCAGTTGGGGGAGGTCGGTTGTGGTGAATGGCTGATAGTAGAGGACAGG